CTCATGAAGTGCCGGTTAAAGCAAACAGGTTAGCTTCCAAACTACTGCGATGCCTCTCCTGATTTGTACCACCAGACAATCGTGCATCTACCAACAAACGCGATGTGCTACTTGCATTCAGATTGAGTAGTCTGTGCAACTACCAGTAAATCCTGATTACGAGGGGTATTCAATCTAGCTTGTATGAGGTGGATGGTGGAATTTTAAAGTTGGCTTTAAGATTATCAGTAGATCATACATTTAAATAAATAAATAAATACTGGCAGTTTCAAACATCTACTTATAAACGAAAAATAAGTAATGTAGTCGACTGATATATCAAACAGAACTTTGCTTCATCCACATTCCCACCACAGAATGTGATATGGGAAAATGCCTGGCCTTGCATGAACTTCACATTTGCCCTGTGATTCAAGAGCACTCGTGGCAGTGTGGTTAAAGTGTCGAAATCACACACTGCGCCGACCTAGACGATGTTGAATCTGAGATCTATCCTGGACGAAAGTGCCCTTTTCGCGAAGCAGGGCTGTGTGAATTTCAATGGAAACGGTAGTCTTGTGGGAAAATGCAACAGTCAATCGTCTCCTTATTACTCCGAACGGAGTAATATGTGAATTGCCGGCGCGTTTTGAGGGCGAATTATCACAACCAATGCTGATGAATGAGACGATGACAATCGCATGGGCCTCTTCTTCTGGAGGTACCGATTCGGGTTGAAATGGACTGTCGCAATTCACCCACCCAGCATCGTGAAAACCCAGTCTGGGAAAGCATCCACTTCATGGCCCACGGCTTGGAATTGGCAAGACTAGTCTGTAGCAGAAGACGTGGAAGTGGATACTTTCTCTGAGGTCTGATCGACTCTAGACGACCCTGTGTCATGTAAAATAGCCAAATTCGTGTTCAGAATTGTCTGTCTGTCTATACCCTCGATCTTCCCATTTTTGCCGATTTTATTCTCTTTTCCACGTTTTCGCAATTCATGCAATTTGCTTCTGTCAATTCCCTCATGTCTGGCAATCGTAGTAGTCTGGTAAAACCCAACCATTACTCCTGCATCACCTTATTCGACCTAATTCTTTTCGTATTTCTCGAGCTTTTCTCTATTTGGCCCATCTTACCCGTTGTCTCGTTTTATTAGATTTTTACATCTTTTCATTTTCCCATTTGAAAATTCATTTTTAGGACATTTTTTTCAAGATTCTCAATTGTCTTCATTTTGTCAGTTTAATCAGCTTACTCAATTTACTCAATTCTTTCATTTTTATCCATTTATCTTTTTCCCACTTTTTTAATTTTAGCAATTTTATTTCTACTCAATGTTGACCATTTAATCCACTTCAGTTTTCTCAATTTGCTCATTATTTTGCTACTGTCCATTTACCTCATCATTTACCCCTTTTTGACTGCTGTTGGGACGACTTTTTTACTTTTATCAATACATACGAAGAGTAACTGGGTTTAGATGCATCTCCTGAAATGCCATTGTTGGGGGGACTTTTATTACACGTCAAAGTGCATGAAAAAGAGAATCAAAGGTCGGTGTCACCAGAAGGCGGCGGCTAATTCGCGCTATGCTGGAACCGCTTGGTTTTAATACAACGTTCAGGTTGACGCAATCCACAAAAAGTGCTTCTTCCTCCATTCATGACACATACTTTTTGGCTAAAATGGAAGACCAACATGATCCCATTGACAAGCCTTGCACCTTTTTCTAAACCTTCGTATTAAAGGTGGAGTATGTACTACTCATGGATAGATTAAGTAGTCTTAAGATTAATCTTTTGCTCAGATTTGCTTCCAGGCTGGGTGCTAGTGCTTCAATTTCCTCCTGAACTGAGATTTTAGCATAGATTGATGCCACATGAAAAATTCTCCACAATATCCTTTGCTCTGATACTCTGTCGATCTATCAATCTAACAAATTCATATGAATTCTCCAATGCATCACCCTTGCCTTATTTTATCATTATTGAAGACGCTCCTTCACACTTTCTCTCTTGCTTGCACAAATGTTAAGCTATTCCATAAGTCTGACTTTAAGACTGTCCATGGGAGACTTCGCTAAAAGTCTGTATTGTTCTGAGTCATTTAAATGGATCATCATGTTTTCCATATAACATAACCTGTCCATGATGACTATTTCACTTTCTATCTTATACAATTTTTTGACATTGGGTATATACACAGTACTTATGTTATTGTGGAAAAAATTCGACTATCAGTCCTTTACTAATTTGTGCGACTTGGATTGATTAGATCTCTTATACTTTCGGAAGAATATTCTCAAGTTTCTCAATTGTCTACAGTTTATTCTATCCACCGCATTTCTCTCACTATGTCCGTTTTTTCGATTAAAGCAATTTTCTTAATTTCTTAATTTCTTAATTCCTTTATTTTTACTTATTATTCAAAGGTGTATCCTTTTTTTAATTTCTTTTTTTATTTCGTTTATTTTTTAACCGCGTCCATTTACATAATTCACTCCATCATCGCTACTTACTCCATTTTCTCCATTTCATCAAGCTCCTCCTTTTCATTTCCTATATTTTTTCACAGTGAAGGTAGAACTGTCGGCTGACTGTCTGTGAAGAAGACCGATTTTGCGAAGACATCGTCAATCCAGTGCCTCCGGTGAGTTTCACTGTCTTTGAGGTCACCGATAAAGCAAATTTGAACTAGATTCCCACTTCGCCCAGACGGAATTGGTACTGACATTTGCAAAAAGTCCGTAAATTTCTCCCAGGCCTCGCAGTCTTCGAGACCGTTCATACGTTTTAACAAACAATTTGCCACGATTTGGTCGCGAAAGGTGACTTAAGGACCGATACTGGAGCTTTATCACAATCCCAAACCATCTACAGGATTCGAGCCCGGGCCAAGATCAACTAAAAGGTTACATTCTAGGCCAGCCAATCACATTTTTTTATACGTTTCGATCTCCTTTTCGCATCTTGGAGACCGCAAGAGATGCATCTGGTCTGAACTGCTCTGCTCGTGTATTCATGTTAATTTCGCCGGCATCATAGTCGCCATCTTCAGAAAAACTTTGCAATTTTAGCACCAAACTTCAACTTGTCAAAGACACATGTGGAGCTCATTTCTTGACCAAATTTACGCCGAACAATTGTGGCATTTCTCTGCTGACTTGGTACGTTCAAATTTCCCACATCCACGTGGTCTGCACACCGGCACATTTTGTTTTTTTCGGATTGTCGCTTAAGCAAACACGTGTTTGCCATTAAATTCGATGACACTACTTATGGCAATAAGTAGACTTGGCAAATTTCATTTGGCCAAATGCACTTCAATTGGCCTCGCGTTTTTCCAAACTGACGGTACTGAATCGGTTGTCAGGACACATGTTAACTCTCTCTCTCTTTGTCTCTTCCTCTGTCTTTTGAAGGCTTAAACAGCGGATGAAATGGATGAGCCGCGTATCGATGACAGTGTCAGCGGGGTACATCTTGGAATGCATTATTTGAGGTCTGTCTGACTCCACGAAACAACGACGAGATCAAACGAGATCAAACAAACTCCATCTTTGGCTGTATGTGTACACCAGCCAGTTTTCGAGACTAACGGTAGATCATTAATGTAGAATGAATTCACACAATTTAGTCTATGGTGCTGAAGATCATCCGAATAGACCCTATGATTCCGTTGATTGTCACATATCCTTGCTTCGGCAAAAGTTATTCTCACTCGGGCTAACACGGAATCCAGTTTCGACGTCGCCTAAGTCTCATCACCAGCCCCGACTGAACTCGAACCATGGCGCTGTAGCGTACAATCTCGACACAACAACCATTACGCCACATTGCCACGAGTGTCCGTGGATCACGGGGCAGATGGACGTTTCGAGGAAAGATGAAGCATTCTCACATGTCACATTCTGTGATGGGATTGCGGATGAAACAAAGTTTTATTTGACTATATTACTTAGTTTCCGTTTATAATTCGGGCTTTCGAGACCATATACATGTCAAATGTATTCGCATAGCTCTGCTTTGGCAAAATCTATTCTCATTCCGACTGGATTGCAGTTACGAGCTCACATACAGTTCATGTAAATTATTAACAAAAATAAGCAAATCGTAGATATGAAGACCAAGATGGTCGCAGTCTCCTTCAGCTGTGTAATTTTGGTTCGAACCCGTTTTCGCAACCTGGTCGGAGCGGACCGAGTCCTGTCTCGTCTGTCAGAATATTCCTGATTGTCGGCCTCGTAACGGTGACTTAGGCGATTCTCAAATGTCTAAGAATAGGGACGTTTTTTTTCATTTCAACCAGCCTTTTTTGCCGGAATGGCCAACACAAAGTTGGGCTGTGATGAAGTTCACGGTTCACAATTGCTGGGCTCACTGCCCATTTCGAGATTCGAAGGTGAATCCCACCAGAAGACGACGGCCGATTCCTTTTGACCAGCCGTCGATCGACTTTGCTGGAACATTCTCGTCGACGCTGTCTCCGAGGCAATTGGCTTCGAGTCCGGTGAAGGTGTACCGAAGGCCTCAAGAAGACTGTCCCAAAAGTTGAGTGTGAAAGTCTCATCTGCCACACGTGATTCGGAGCGGAAAAGTCGCTCACGACGCCAGTTCGAGTCCCGTCGATGCGGCTGGAAGTGGAGCAACTTTTTTCGGCAACAATTCCCACAACAGTGCTTGCACTAACTCGGCCAAATTCACACGAGTTTATACTCAACGAAGGGGGAGGGGCCAGCCTCGTGGGTTTCACACTTGGGGCGCCGAACGGCGACAGGAAACCAGATCGCGTCTCGGCATCCACTAGCTTACAAGTTGATCCAAACGGACCGTCAGCTCATCTCTTCACTTGAGTAAGCTGGCAACAAGTGCACTTGGGAGTAGGAAGAAGGAGGCTGGTGTGATTTTTGTGTGTTTCGCTCACAGTCACACACACACACACACACAAATGTCATGCGTGGGGAGGTGTGAAATGCCAACACTATCAGATGAACTGCTCCCGCCTCGGCAACCGGCAGAACCAGCTCGAGAAGTCACAGACCCGAGCCCTCAGGTACCAGACATACGACAGCATGACACAACACGTGTTCACGCATGCACGCAAGTATGCGCCCCTCCTCCTGCTTCAGCTTCTTCTCGTTCTCGGACCGTCTCCATTTTCAACATTGTCTGTCGCCAGGGCCTTATCTCACCTCTTCGTCTCTGTCCGAAACCCACTGGGCGGAACCTTAATTGCAGACCACACGACCAGTGCCCATTTAGACTCGTCTTCTCCCTCCTCGTACACACAATGCAACTCACTGTCTTTCAAACACACACGCACACGTACACACCTACCTACACATACACATCTCTCTCTCTCTCTCTCTCTCTCCCTCGAAGATGAAGAAGAAGAAGAAGAAGAAGAAGAAGAATGAGAAGAAGATGCTCCACCTCTCCGTGAACACACACACACAGACATACACGAATGTGCACCAGTGTGGAGCATGTGGATCCTGTTTCCCACCCCTCGACGAGGCCGCCACGTGCATCCGATTCGGCTTATCTCACTTGGGCCATCTCTGAGCCGCATTAGCCGCCGGACAGGGTTCGAGCGCAGGCCTACCAGGGGAGTTGGGCGTCGCGATGCCACCGCGCTTTGCTCGCGTGTCCCGGCGATGGGGAAGATGGCTCGGCCAAGTTGGGCCCAACTAGTCCCGCCCGTCGGTGCGTCGGTCTGTCCGGCTCCGTGTGGGGCTGCAGACTGGGCGTGTGGGTGTGTGGGTGGGTGTGCGCGAAATCTCCCAAACCGGTCACCAATGACGAGTGAGGACCGGCGAGCCGCGTCGGCCAACCGAGTCGCGACTGTCAAGTCGGGCCTCGCGATCCGCACGGAGCCCACGAGCGTCCGAGTCCGCGGCTGCCGTTGCCTCGGGCGATTCGACGCCGTCTCGGCCAGAGGGAGGGGGGCGGGGGCGTGGGATCATGGGACGAGGTGATTTGGGGTCGGGCTCGCGGTACCAACTGGGCCGAGCAAGGGTTTCCCGACAGGACCGGCGAGGCGGCTGGCAACGCGACTGAGCCAGAGTCCCGGCGATCTCGGCCACTTCGACGGCCGTGCCACCGGGGGGGTGGGGGTGGGGGTGGGGTGGTCGTGTGGGCAAACGGGGGACGGTGCACTTTGTCTTAATGGACATGGTAACTAGGACTGCTCGGATCCAGCCGGACAAGGCGAACCAATCACTGCTGCTCTGCCGGCCGGGCGTAAAGAGGGCAGATGTCCGGACGATCCGAGTCCCTGCTACAAGACATGTCAACAAACATTGCGACAAACAGCAATTTCCCCCCAACCCCCAACCCTTCACATGCGTATGCAATTATCCTCCTCTATGAACCCACCAACATGCATACAGACACACACACACACACACACAGACACACACATATTTGCTGCTTGAATCCGGCCAAATTTGACCACCATCTCGCGAGACGATGACAGCAGGACGAGCAATCGTGCAATTTTCATGTTGCTTTGTACCATTTTGTGCCAGAAAAAAAGAAATAATCGCATTTCAAAGATCCGAAAGAGCAAGATCGCCATGGCCTGATGACTGATGCGGTGAGCACAGAAACTCTGAGCGAATCCCGGTTCGTTTGGTGAGATGGCAAACGGCAGAACTGAGTTGTTCTCCGGTAGCATGAATCTGCGAGTCCAATGCAAGCAACCGTCTTTACGAGCAGAATGGACGGTACAGCAACACCTTCGGCGAAATGCGGTTCGGCGTGCCGGACGGTCTCTCGGGAAGTCTGTCTGTGACACTCGGGATCGCTTGAATTTGGCGGGATTTGGCACTGAAGTGATGCATCTGTACATGCGTTTGTGCATGTGTGTGTGTCTGCTGTAGCACTTATTGTTACTGTTGGCAAGAATTGTATTTCGTATGAAAGTGCACAAAGAAGAGATTTACAGGTCGATCTCACCGGAAGACGACAACTGATTTCTTTTGATTGTAGTCGCTTGATTTTAATACAGCATTCAGCTTTACGCAGTCTACCAAACATCATCCCTCGTTTTGGGTGAAAACGGACGGAGCTTTTGCCCATTGTACGACAAACATCATCAGAGTTGGAATTCATTCTTGTAAAAGTTTCCAGTAACTAACACACAAAAATGTATAGACAGGGATAGATAGATATATAATGATT